TTTGTTAAAATATTTGTAACTTTAACATCATACATATTAATCCGCAAAACTCACAGTATGTATTTTATGGTATTTTAAAGTAAGCAAACAAGAATTTGGAACATGGTTTTAATGGAATGAAATGAGAATAAGAATTACGAGACGGGATGGCAGGGGAACATAAATTAAAAATCAAACTTAATACTCAACTGGTATGAGTTTGTGTTATGAGCACTATATAAAATAAATTTGTTTACACACATAACCTTATACTTACGTTTTTAGTTACAATTTATGACAGATACGGGACCGTAATATTTTTATTTCACGTATACGAGACGGGTTATGGGACGAAAAATTTATGACATATACAAGACGGGATAGGTTTCCTGTTCCAAAATAGTTACGCCTAGCTAATATACATGAAATAATCCAAACTAAACCGAATATGTATCCTATTTAACACATGTAATCAAACTGTTAGAAATGTTTTGAATAGTTTAGAAAATAAAAACGTAACATCACTTAACTTTTGCAACTAAATAATATCTTAATTTTATATTAAATACAATTTCACACCTACGTGTAGGTCTGAATCTTAAAATATAACTATGCACTAACGCAACTAAATTTCGTTCATTACTCTAACTTTATAATATCTATATTATTACAAAGTTCACTAACACAACAAAATATTTTATATTTTTAAAATCTATATAACAATTTCTAAAAAAAATATCTCTGCACGTACATGTGGATCTAGATCTAATACACTAAAATATACATCATAAAAACAATAAAATAATCTATATTATATGAAAATTTGTAAGAAATGTTTTTGAAATATGAAACCCCGCACGTACGTGCGGGTCAGGATCTAGTATTTATATATATAGAAAGCATATACATTAGGATTAATCCCTGTTCAAAAAGTCGGGCGCCTAGCCGCCTAGGCAGCCGCCTAGTCGGTGATCGGCAGTCAACCGCCGCGATTTTAATTTACCGATTTTGCGGCCGTTTAATAATTAAACGTTGAAAATCGGTTAAAAGTCACCGATTTATTATAAAATTTTATACTGAATTTTGACCAAAACTCAAAAATTGATTGGGCCTACATAAGCCCACACGAGCTATACTATGACAAATAGAAACAATTAGTAGGGTCATTTATAAGAAGTCGATTCCATGCTTCCTTCCTACTATTACCGATGTGGGACTTTGTGATTTTGAGTTTTGTAGAGATACTACTTTCACATAACGTGGCAACTGGCAAGTGATATCAATTCAGTAGTCAAATTAATAATTTGAATATATTTAAGTCCTTTATTTTTTTTTCCACCAAAATCTATTTATTGGTGGTCACTATATTTAGGTTCATATATTTTTTTTTAACGTGGATGTCATTTAGTTATTATTAGTGACCGTTCAAATCTGATACTTTGTTCTTTTCGTCCATATATTTAAGTTTCAAATACTCCCTCCGTTCCTGAAAGTTTGATGTTTTAGTGTTTTAGGTTTGTTCCACAAAGATTGATTTTCTGGCTTTTTATTTTATTTTTTATTAATTGATATTAACAAATCGTAGATTTCAAGGCGTAATGATTACAAATAATTAACTGTTTTAGATTACTATTAGTTCATATATTATTAAAAATATTTAATAAAAAGAAAAAATTATTAAATGATTAAATCATGATTGTTTCTTAATATATGTGTAAATTCTAAAACATCAAATTTTCAGGAACAGAGGGAGTAAGTTTTTTTAAACTAACAAACTGTTTTCATATTAATAATAGATGATATTAGTCAAATGTACATATATTATATTTGATACATATATGTATTTTGAATATATATAATTAGGATGAATGTCAATTTGATGTGAAATTAAATTCGCAAAATTGATGATAGATGTTTTAAACTTTTTTCATGGTTTTTGTTTTATAAATTTTGCAAACATGTTATCAATTGCCTATTTGTATAATAAATTCATAACACTATAAAATTATTATAAAAATAACACTATATAATGATCAAAAACTAATCCCCGATTAATCTTCGATTAATCTCCGATTTTCCGTCTAGGCGATAGGCGGTGCCCGGCCGCCCGACTAGCGCCTAGCGATTTTTTGAACATGGGGATTAATCCAAACAACTAACAATTTTAATGTGTCGAGGAAAATGTTGGACCGTTAATAGGCCGATCTGGGCCGGAATATTGTATACAAATACTCGGTGAAATAATAATGCAAACTCTTTATAATCTACATGCCTATGAATAAAGGACCCTAATTAAGAAGAATACACGAAGCTTTCTGACTAAATCCCTAAACGTGAATATAGCACGGGAATCATGTCATCCACGGATCTGAAACCGGAATCCAAATCTGAAAGTAACCAAGTCCCGTCCAAGGAAGTGGGAGATCGATTACAAGTGTTCATGAAAAAAGGTGGTTGCGAAAATTCATATACAGCTTGTGTAGGTTGTGATTAGCGGGAAGATGAGTGTACGGAAGCCTATTCAATGTTGGAAAAGTGTATGAAAGCTCGCTTTGATTACTTTGAGCCATATCTCGCGCTGAAGAACGCTAGTGCTGAAGTGATGGCGAGGGAGATCGAAGTCTTCCTCCCTGCGAAACCAAAGGACAGAGACGAGCTGTTAGGCAAATTCATGACAAGAGGTGATTGCAAACAAGCTTTTATGGCTTGGATGGATAGTTATGAAGAAGCCAAGAAGAACAAGGGAAGTCTTTATACACCTGCCTTAAACACCTTGTCGAAGTGTATAGAGGCTCACTCTGATTACTATCAGCCGCTTCTCACAGTGGTCAAAAATTATAAAGAACATTATAGTAAGGAGCGTATCGCCTTCTTGGATGCGTGGGAGCAAGCTCAAGCTGAGGCTGAGGGATGATTTGAATATGATTTACATAATATTTTAATGCTTTTTTCTTTGTTTACGTTTCCTTTTGCATGAATACTCTGCTTCTTCTTCATTACTTTGTTGTTTCACTCATCGTCTTTATTATTGTCTTTTTTATAGTGATGCAAAACAACATGGCATTTAACTAAAAACTACACAAAATCCCTATCTATACACAACGGATTTTAAGATTTTAGGTTAACATCTTCAATTCGGATCAATGTATTCATCATATTTCCCTATATATGTACAACAACACATTCACGGAAATCTCACTATATAAGTCTCTAAGCAAATCTTTGGTGGTTCTCTAATTAAGGCTGCCGCTGGGGCGGTTTCCGAGAAATATCTAGCGGTGTGGTTCGCTAAATTCAGCAAGCAAGAAAGTAGTGGTGGAGGAGGTTGCCGCCGAAGATTATTCATGTTTTCCTACGAGAACGAGAAGTTCCCTTCTTGGATTCCTCTTCCGACGGTAAACTTCTGGAAGAATCGGAGTCTATTGTGTTGGCTAAAGACTGTTCGGGTCATTATACAAGCATTCAACAAGCAGTAAATGCAGCTGCCAAACCTCCTCCAAGAAACAAGAGAGAGAGTTGTAATATAAGTAAAAGGAACGTGATGGTTAATTATAATGTGGTGTTGCAGCTCGTGAGGATGAAATCTGAGTCGTCTGATTGAGAATGGACGGTCAGGATTAATGGGAGGACGGTGGCTAAGAAGGAGAAGAGAAGTGGTTGATGAAGAGAAGGTTCCATGGTTTCTTCTGTTCTATGTGTGTTGGTTTTTTGTGACACGGAAGTGACTCTTTTTGGGTTATGGATGGTTTTGGTGTTTGTGACCTCAAGTTTATATTTATATATAGAGAAAGCATATACATTAGGAGGGATTAATCTAAACAACTAACGATTTTAATGCTAGGAAAATGTTGGACCGTTAATGGGCCGATCTGGGCCGGAATACTGTATACAAATACTTGGTGAAATAATAATGCAAACTCTTTATAATCTACATGATTTTTTCGTAAAATACTAGAAGTGTACTCTACGATGGATTAATGCATATTTAAGAAAAATAAAAAGAATATTAAAATTATATTTTACTAAATTTTCTTACATATATATATACATATATATTTTATTGATAAGTTTGTATAATTATTAATTTATGATACTGACGAGATCATATAGTTACATAGGATTTTTAAATAAATTATTATTTTATTATTTTATGTTAAATTTTATACTGGTCTGACTCGAGACCAGAAATTTTTATTAATTTATAATGATTATTAATTTATCAAATATTAATTTATAGAGATTTTTTTTTGTACAAACTATTCACAAGTTAAACTTCAATCAATGTACAATTGTGCTCACTTCTTTTATTCATCTAATATATTTGGATTAATATAATTGTTAAATCATGTTCACAATCACCGTAAATCTATTATCTTAGATTTAACTTTAGTGAAATATGCATATAGATAATAACATATTTTAAATTAATTTTTAATATTTAAATTTGTCATGTTGTATTGTAGATTTCTTTTTGCGAATTGAAGAATTTATTTTATACGACACAAAATTTATTAATAAATTCACTTCCGACCTTCATTACTCTAGGCGCGGCTCTGCCTCGGTGAAACATCGTAGACCACTTCTTTGGTAAATTCCTTTTAAACCTCTAATCCTTTCTCCATGGTTTCTTTTTTGGGTTTCAACTTTTGGGTCATGGACGCTATCTTCTTTGCAGCTTGTTTCATGATCGGAAAACGCAAATTTGATATTGCCGGTAAAATAACAGAAAAGATTCTTGAGACTAGAGAAGGAGAAGAAGACTGACAGCAAAAAATATGAATCTTTATAGAAAATATGAGATTCACTTGCACACAGCAAAATGGACATTTTTTTAAAAATGTTATGGCCCATTATTTCCCACCTTCGTGGAATTAATAAAATACTATTTTATTACTATACAATATTTTTGCATGTAGACAACAATGTATACTAAATAGTCAACTTATTTCTTGTTTTTTTCGATCACAAAGCTAATAGCAGTTCATACAATTTTGTATCTTCGTAATGATGTTCTAATTTGTTTGAAACCTTCTAAAACGATTTTTTGTAAAAGGACAAATAAATATAAGAAATAATAGACAATTTTAATGGTTGGGGAAAATGTTGAACCGTAAACCATTCGCTTAATGGGCCGATCTGGGCCAGAATATTGTATACAAATATTGCAAACTCTTTATCGTCTATATACCTTATGAATAAAGAACCCTAATTAAGAAGATTACCCGAAACTTTTTGACTAAAACCCTAAACGTGAATATATCATGGGATCCATGTCATCTACGGATCTGAAACAGGAATCCAAATCTGAAAATAACCAAGTCCCAACCAAGGAAGTGGGAGATCGATTACAAGAGTTTATGAAAAAAGGTGGTTGCGAAAATTCATATATAGCTTGTGTAGGTTGTGATTCGCGGGAAGATGAGTGTACGGAAGCCTATTCAATGCTGGAAAAGTGTATGAAGGCTCGCTCTGATTACTTTGAGACGTATCTCGCGCTGAAGAACGCTAGTGCTGAAGTGATGGCTAGGGAGATCGAAGTCTTCCTCCATGCGAAACCAAATGACAGAGACGAGTTGTTAGGCAAATTCATTACAAGAGGTGGTTGCAAAGAAGCTTTTATGGCTTGGAGGGATAGTTACGAAGAAGCCAAGAAGAACAAGGGAAGTCTTTATACACCTGCCTTGAACACCTTGTCAAAGTGTATGGAGGCTCACTCTGATTACTATCAGCCATTTCTCGCAGTGGTCAAAAATTATGAAGAACACTATAGTAAGGAGCGTATTGCCTTCTTGATGAGGCTAAGGGATGATTTGAATAGGATGTAGTAATATCTTAATGCTTTTTTCCTTTGTTTACGTTTCCTTTTGCATGAATACTCTTCTTTTTTTTTTAATATGATCTCCAAGGTTAGGTTCTCCCTCTCCCTAGTTGAGCTTAATGCTGAATCATAGCAAATCGTTTTCTTTCTTCATCTTCTTTTTTCTTTTATCAAACTAGCAAATACAAACGGCAAAAATAATTACCATCACAACCAATCCATAATTAATGACAATTACTACAATCGATCTCATGGGTAAAGGAAGGATTTTATGGAAACGAAGAATGACTTAAATAAAATAAGATCAAAACCAACCTCAAATATAATAACAAAAAAAAAAGGTAATTTGGATTACTTCAAATCGCTACCACAGAGAGCGTGTTTGAATCTAGGGAATGATGATGAATCACAATTGTTACTTGATGGTTTTTGCTGAATTTGTTGTAAAAGATGTCGTATCATGTAATGTACTGTTTTCTTCGTATGTACAAAATGAAGAATGTTTCGAATCAATTGAGCTGTTTCGTTACATGGCATATACATGAATAAGGCTCGTTTAGTTTTGTCTATTATTATCAACGCTTGTGCAGGTTTATGAGTTGTTAAAAAAGTTACGATAATTTTGAAAAACTCAACTACGATCCTGACCACTACCTTTCTCGTTGAATACGCTTGTCGATATGTATACCGAAGTTGGTAGGTACCCATATAGATTGAAGAAGATGAGAAATTAACTTTGACTCTGTCCGAGTAATTACAAGTTACAACAACGAAACAATGATCAACGACGAAGAATAAAAGAGCTAATTTAAGTAAATTTGGGTAAATTATCAAAATTTCAAAAAAAAACATAGGGTAAAGTAGGCTTGGGCGTTTGGGTATTCAGTTCGGTTCTAGAACCGAATCATTTGGTTCCAAGTATTTTGGTTCAAAGATTTAGGAACCATATTGGAACCAAATCAATATCGGTTCGGTTCTAGTTCGGTTCCTATTCGGTTCGGTTCGGATAATAAATTTTGGAACCGATTAGGAACCAAATGGTTTCAGATATTTTTGGAACCGAAAAAATAATAGAATTATAATGCAAAATTCAAATGCAATTATGCAATGCAACATCATATATTAGTCATCATACCATTACAAATTCAAAAAATAGTTGAAACTTGGAAAGTATTAAGTCAAAAGACACCTAAAGTTTCAAAAATACCACAAAACACAAGTTTTAAAGACACCAAAAGAAGCTTTGTCTTTAATTTGCAATGATTCGAAAGAGAGAGTTGTTGTCTGCGGCGTCTCATTCTTTGAGAAAAAGATAACAAACTAGGGTTTCTCTTTAGGTTTCAGAGAAATATACTCCCTCTGTCCCAAATTATAGAATGTTTTAGCATTTTTTCCTTGTTCCATTTTATAAAATTTTCCCAGATTTCTATGCATAATTTATGTTTATTTAGTATGTTATGACCATTTAAATTCTGCAGTCTTTTTTTCTATTGGCTGAATTCCTATAAAAAAAAGTAAACATTAATTATTCCTTAATCTTTGTGCTTTTACACAAAACATTTTATAAAATGGGACAGAGGGAGTATAAGATACTAAGAGAGATATATGGTAGGTTGTTAGGCTTGAGTAGTTAAATTTATATCTAGATAAGTTTGAAACTTTGGGTTATATAAATATAGGTTAATGGGCTATAGTTTTTGGGTATCCGAATGGATATCGGTTCCTACCCGAACCGAACCGATACTCATGATTCTTTGATTCAAGATTCAATCGATATTTTCACTAGAACCGGAACCGAACCGTACCCATCAATTTCGGTTCAGTTCTATGTGGATCCATATTTGTGTCCAAGCCTAGGATAAAGTACCAAAATTTCAAAAAAAAGGTAATTAAGATTACCTAGTGGTAATTTAGTTTACCAAGTTCCCACGTCCCAGTGTTGAGTCAATTATGGAAAGAAACAAACTATTCTTCTCCATTCGTACCAATATTATGCTCGAACCCAGATGGAGTCTATTCCACCCATCCCCATGCAGAGTCATAACCACTTTAATTGGGCCGAATTGGTGATCGTAGATCCATTTTTAATAGTTAAATTAGCTTTTGACCCACAACTTAATTCCCGGTTTAATTCGGTTCGCTAAAGATTCCAGAACCAGAAATAAATAGTTACGCTAATTGTCTTTAAATCTAGTAAAGTTAATAAAAGACGTTTTTTTGTTTTTATTCTTCTCTTCACAAAAACATTAAAATGAAAAAGAATTTATCTAGTTTTTGTAATTGTGGGGGTGATTGGAAGAGGCTGTTAGTTTTGGCTGTAAAGATTTTGGCTTTAGGAACTTTGGCTGTAGAAACTTTGGCTGCAGAGACTTTGGCTGTTAAAATCTTATTGGTAGAACAAAACTGTAGAAGCTTTGACTGTTATTTTTTTAGAATTATATATATTCATAATAAATCTAAATAATATTATAAATGAATTCATGTGATAATATAATTTTATTAATGATAACACTTTTGGGGCCGTATTTATAATGGTTTAAGTGATCTTCTAAAAATAGTATGTAACTATTTGTTTTGAAATTATTTTGATTAATTGTAAACAAATTTGATCTTTAAATATTTAAAATATGTTTTACTATAATTATTTTGGTAAACTAGTCAACATAAAATTTGGCTAACAAATCAAATAAACATTTGAAAAATAAATTAAAAGGTAGAAATAGTTAAAATACTTATCTTGAATGATTCTTGAGCAATTGTTATGGCTAACAATAGTGTTTTGAATGTTTCTTTTTTTGTTGAGTAGTTGTATAATTTTGAGTAATTAAAAATCAATAAAACTATTAATGATGAAGCAATTTATGAAATAATTGAATGGGCTATATAAAGTATATGTTTTATTAAAAATACTATTCTATAAACTCTTGTATACTAATATTAATGGTGATTATGAAAATAAAATGATTATTATTGAAATGGATCTTAAAAGAAAGATTGAAAAATGATAATAATTAATTTATCAAAAATATATATGTGAACAATATATATAAACATGTAGAAAGATTCTAATTATTATGAGGAGAAGAAAAAAAGAAAGTTTTTAATTATTATTTATTTTTAAGTTTTATTATTTGTTTGAAATTAGAAAATTGTACGTGAAAAAGAAAAAAGTGGGCAGTTAGACTAAAAACTTTAAAAAATTATAAAATCCTAAAATTATGATTGGTAAATATTTGGCTTGAAGACTTTAAAAAAATTCTAAAGCCTTTAAAGTTTCTTCTAATCACCCCCTAACCCATGTGTCAGAGAGTCAAAATCGACAAAAACAGTCATTGGGCAAAACATCGACAAAAACAGTCATTGGGCAAAATCTATGTATGTCTACAAAGAACCCACTAAGTTTAGCTTCAAATAGAAGAAGATGAGAAATTAACTTTGTTTTTGCCCGAGTTACAACAACCAAACCTTGATCAACGACGACAAATAAAAGAGATCGATATTTCTTGTTCATTTAAGGGTAAATTATCAAATTTTCAAAAAATAGGTAATTTAGATTACCTAGCTGGGAGGGTTTCCCCCGTGTTGATTTATGCATCAACGTGTTGAGTCCCGTGTTGATTTATTTAAAGCCGCTTTTAAGGAGAGAAACAAACTTTCCTTCTCCACTGGTACCAATTAGATCCTCGAACCCTGGTGGAATCCTCCACACCAGCCCCATGAAGACTGATTACCACTTTTACTGGGCCCGAATTGGTGGTCGTATTTCCAATTTTTAATACTTAAATTAGCTTTTAGCCCAAAACATAATTCCGGTTTAAATCGGTTGGCTAAAGATTCGAGAACCAGAAATAATTAGTTACACTTATTCGGCTATTTCAGGAACAGTTTCGTTACATAATTACATTACATGGTGAAGTTGCTTACAGACGGAATTTCGCCAAACAATAGTACTCTAGTGAGCGTCCTCTGTGCATAAAACTATGACGGACTTGTATTGGAGGCGAAACACTTTTTTGAGACGGTTAATTTGGTGTTAAACCGACACAAGAAACATTACGCATGTGTGAAGGATGTGTTAAGAAGGGCAGGGAAAGTAACTTAAACGATGGTGGAAAATGTCGTTTGATGCGGAATGCATCAATATGGGGAGCGGTTCTTGGTGAGGGAAAAGTTCACAAGAATTCATCTGAGAAGCAAATAGATTTATAGAAAGCGTGATGAGCTTAGAGAGTGTTTGAACCGAGTTGGATATGTTCTGGTACGACTGAAACGGATCTTCACTATGTGGAGAGAAGTGCAAAGGAGAAGCTTTTGGTGTACCACAATAAAAGCTCCGATTAAGGTTAATAAGAATCTCTAAATCTGTATGGATTGTCAGTTGTCACGCATGTGTTTAAGTTTGTTGAGAGATTATCGTTAGAGATATTCATACGTTAGGTTTCTTCCATTTAAAAATATGGTTCTTGTTCTTGTAGAGATTATTAGTGAATACTTCTATTTGTGAAATTATAGTGAGATAACTTGTAAAATTGCTTTATAATATCAGCAAAAACTTTTGTGCTTTTTTGGGAGTAAAAGGAGTTATTTGTTTAGAAATAGAATGATAAAAAGAAGATTAGCTTCTAGACGTTGTAAAAGATATACTTTTTCAAAAAAAAAAAAAAAAAAAAGACGTTGTAAAAGATATTGAATGTTGACAAACTTTAAAATGAATTTCTCATAAGTCTCATGTCATGTGTGAGTCTCTTTGGTACACGTAGAGGTACAGCTAACCAAACAAGACTTGTAAAGCGAAATGTGGGCTCGATACTTCTACTGTTCGTACGTATCATAGTTCTCCTATATTTCTTCTCTCTTCTTCTCACGTCGTATTCTCCGAAATTATATTCAAGTATTTAGATTATTTTCATATTTTAGAATTTATTTTCTTTAAATCTATTAATAATTTTTAAACTTATTAAATCAAACTTGAAAGGTTTCAGAGAATAATTCAATATCAGGACTGACATTATTCTGATATCTATAATATCTGAGTGATAGAAACTATATACGTTGTATAGTGAATTGATTTATTTAACTTTGATTCCACTTTTAATCAACTTTTGTGCATGATTTTGGCTTGGTACAGTCGGTTTAATTAGACTGATTAACATCATTATTTAAGCAAAAACATATTTCACAGCAATACATATGGTAAAGATCTTGATTATAAAAATATCCCAAAGATATTTTTGAGACAATTTGATTGTTTTTTTTGTTTGTTTCTATGCATCAACAAATCATAGAGAAAACTTTGTCGTTACTTTCTACAAACTCTAATTTTGTCTATATCAAAACTAGTGCGTACGTGTGTAGTAATACAGGCCATTCAGTCAATTTGGACCAAAGACAACCGTTGATCCATCTGTTCCTTTTTTTCTTAAAACTTTTTCTAAACAAATTGAAACCGTGTTTTTTTTTGTCGCCGTGTATCAAACTCTATATATACAGACCTAGAATTCACCATTGAAACTCATTAGAAATCTGAATACTTTCACAACTTTCTCTTAAAACATTTTCAAGAACGAGAAAAAAAAAATAAACTAAAAAAGATTGAGGTCATGGTTAGATCAGAATTAGGAAGAAGAAGATTCTTATTAGGAGCTGAAATGGCGCCGGCGCCGGTGATTTCTCGCCGGAGTTGTTCAATGTCTCCGACACTAGAGACCATTTTTGAAGAGAGGTCCGATGATTTTAATCATCAAGATCATTATTACAATGTCGTCGTGGGACAACGAAATCGTTTGTTTCTTCTTGTTCCGGCGATCATATCGGCCGTATCTTGTGTTTTGTTGTGTAGACAAGATCATGTTGTTCGATTTTCTTGAACAAATATATGCATAAGTATTTCAATGTAACTATGTATAAGGAGAAGAGTTTTCTATAAGCTTATGTTATTGTTTCAATTCATAGCGTTAATTTGTTCATTTGATTCACAAATATCCATTTATAACATGTTTTTAATGCTCATAGTTCTGGCTTTTACCAATAGGAACTTTTGAAAAATGAATTCATATTAGATCAACAAAACTAAATACTAGATATCAAATTTTGCGAACAAACTATGACGGTAAATTCTAGATCTTTGGCCGATATAACTCTTCTTTGGCCGTTACAACGGTTTGCGACATATGCAAAACACATTTTCTAGTAAAAATAAGCCCGGCTCTTTCAAGTCCTAGCTCTTTTCTTTGACCTAAAATCATGGATAGATTTTGTTATTAACAACACATCCAAATTACAAATTTAAAGAAACAATCAATAGTTTTTGATAGCCTTGTACAACACAAAGTACAAAAGCATTGAGAGTAGAAGGGGAAGAAATATCACAATCCGTTTAGGCGCCTTGACTGCAAAACTATCACATCCTTCTTCGAAAATCGTTTCCAATTTAGGCTGCGAGATGCTCCTAGATAATCGTCTCTGCTGAATCCGATGAGATAGTGAAGGTGTGACCTCTCCCCATGTTTGAATAAACCTCATTTCATTCGCCATTGATGCAATTTTAAGAGTTTTGTTGTCTTGAAATGAGTAGAGGAAAGAAGATTAAGGTGTTATGTATGAAAGATTTGATTGTTTAATTAGTGGATGGGAAACAAAGGAAGAGCTTTATATAGAGAAGATTAGAAGACTTTTTTAAGGTTATGTAATTATCCAAAATTATCAAGACAACGACGTGGTAATCTCTTAATTTAATTCTTGTGCTAACTTTAGAGGTTCTAGAAAGTTTAAAAAAAAAAAAGTTGATATACCTGAATAACTCAATTGTACTATTGTAGTTTCTTATAACAAAATCTAGTTAGGTTTGTTAAATTCTGATAACGCCTTTATATAGGTTTTTTTTTCATAGAATAAATCTTGATAATAGTAGAAAGAATTAAAAAAGTTACTGAAGTCAACCTTTATTCAACAGCAAACACAAAAACAAAACAGAAATAAATAAATAATTCACAGTGGAAAATGGAAATTAGGAGATTTTGTATTTTCTTCATCTGATTAAAAAAAAATCACTGTGGGAAAAGTTTTTTCCGGAAACTCCTTTAATGGCGGAAGAAGAGAAGCGAACTTCACCGGAACCTCCTCTTCCTTCTCCGCCGGAATCTTCACCTCAACCCAAAGATCCACCGCCAGAATCTTCTACTTCTCCGGCTAGATTCGATCCTAGTCGAAGTAATTCTCTTAAATTTCCCCTTTCTTCTTCAACATCAAATCGATTTCTAGGGTTTTGCTTTCTGGATTTTTCTATAATCTCCCTTCAATTAGACTGATGTGTTATCCCCGAATTCTACGCCTCCATTGTTAATCGTACCCAAAGCTCGCATTTTTTAAAAAAAAGTTCTAATCTAAAATCATTGGTCCTGCATAATCACGAATTTGACTAAGTGTTTAAAGAGCTTATCTTTACTTTGGTTACTGAGAGGTTATAGCTAGAATTGATGTGAAACATTGATTCTTTTTCTTAGTTTTACAAAAATTCAAATGAAGAAGATTCATGAAAGTATAGTGATTCTCCATCTGCATTCTACAAGCAACTGTATAGATATGAACTACTTACTATCTTCAAGATGAATCATTGATGTTCAAGATCTTACTTATGGTTTTGCTCTGATCATGATTCACCAGCTTGCTATTTTTACTTCTTTCAATATCTGTAGTGTGGTTTTGTTTTGCTATTTGTCTAACCTAATGCTTTGAATTGGTTCTTTTGAAAGTGATTGGGATCATCAAAAGGAAAGCTTTGATTAAGGATTTAGCTGCTGCTTACCACGCCGAGTGTCTTGCTCTTTGCCGAGAACTTCTGGAGCTTCAAAAGAGAAAGGACGAGGTTAGAAATCCATCTCCTGATCTATTCATTGTTTGTATGAACTTGTCGCTTTCGGTTAAATACTTGTTAAGTCGTACAATGAACCCATTGTTATCTAAATATAGTCATGATTTATATATCATGTTAGTTGCATATCGACTCGGTAGATATAAAACGAATCAAAGCATGAAACCAATGAATAAATCTAAGGATTGGACTCTTATAGTTGACTACAAGGTCGGGTCGGGAAGTGGCTTAAACGCAAACAACTACCAAGGGCATAAAATCCAAAGTGGGTTCTTTCTTTCAAGTTGGGAATGAAATTGTTAGACTTGGAACCAAAACGGTGAAACTTGATGAACCTGTTTTTCATGTGTTCTAACTTGTTTGAGATTTTGCTCTTATTTTGCAGCCGTTCCTGGACACCAAAGCTACGGAAGATATGAGAAAAGAGACGGTGAGGTCTTCTTCCAAACGAGCTAAGAAAAAACGTTAAAAGAAAAGACTTGGTATGATGCTTGATTTACTACGTAGGTATGATGTTCATAGATCGGTTTTTATGCTTCAGGTGAAGTAAAAAACTTGTTGAAAGATTGAAATTTTTATTTGATTATCTAAATTATATACAATATTTACACATTTACTAAGAAGAATTCGAATCACCCTTTCTAAAGACATCTCTTAACTAGACCGAGCGAAAATCCGGCAAACCGGTCTAAGACAATCAATCGCAGCAACCGCCTGATGCTTAGCTTTCAAACAGAATCTCTGGAACCAGTTCGTATCAGGGGCAATAACAACCATAGAAGATTGAACATACATTGAAGCTGCTCTTTTCACAAGCTCGTTTCTAATGGCGATGTTAGAAGAATCCATCTCGGACAAGAGAAACCCATCTTGTGAAGGAACACTGTATTGTGGGTGACAAAACAACGAACCAAATCCATCGGAACTTGAGATCACATCTTTCAAGCTCGTGTACTGGAGATTATTGTGATCATTGTCGTCTGAGATAAAGAGATAGGGTGATTTTTGTAACATTTGGAAACCTTGTCTCCATATTCGTAGTAGAATCTAAATGGTGGGAGAGTCTGATGAGTTTAAATATCTTCCCCTGTTTTAGACGACCGGTGTTCCCTTCTATTTAGCCAGAATTGTCGGAAATGCCCTTAGTTTTGGAGACTTTCCACTTTTATACCGCATATAAAGGAAAGTGAGCTGAACATATAAACCGCACAAAACCAAACAAACCAAAGATTTAAACCGAAACTTCTTAACATGGGCCTTAGCTCACGTATACCACTGGGCCTTAACTCAAGTACAATATTGTCCAAATAATTATTTTTACATATTCTTTTTTTGCTAAATATGTAATTTTACATATTCGTCTGCTTTAATCATAGTTTTGAACCTCGATGGAAACATGACGTTGAACTCACTTTAACTATGCAATAATTATAATATGCTATAACATATTATATATCTATATATTATATAGATGTTGCAACAAATATATGGATGTATGTTGTGGTCCTTCCATGATTGACTGAAAGATAAATAACAACCAATAAAAATCAAGTTTAGTTTATAGAGTAGTCTGAATTGATTTACATGTAATGGGTAGTATACATTAAATTAGACTTAATCTAATAATGGAAAGGTATATATCTCTAGGTGGACCTATCTTTCTAATCACAATTAGGGTTTATTCCATATATAGAGCATGTAAGAAGCTTAATGGACAAAATTAATCATGAGTCATGCCCCCACTAGATTCATTAATTAATGGTCCAATTTAAAAGGACATCAGCTTCACTTGTATTTTAATGTACTCTCTTAATCAAAACACTTGACCCAATAGATTAAGAAAGTTCACTATAATAATTTTGTTGTCAGATTTTTTTTTCTTTCTTATGTTTGTACAGTTAACAAAAATTATATTTCGATTTGGTATGGTTTTTGTTTTGGTTTGGATTGTCTTTTTAATTCGTTTGAATTTTTAGTCTCGTTTTCTAGATAAAATAGATCAATACCAGTTTAGACCACTTATGATTTGGTTCGATTTATATAAGTTGAATACTCTTCAAATAAACCACGAAAAATATCTGGCGTGGAAATGTTATTGGTTTATTAATTTGTAAATCCATATAGGATTTGAAAATCTCTATTAATTATAAAAATTAAGATATATGGATTTTGAAATAACATGTGTTTACCCATAGATTTGAATCCTTCTATTTTTCTCTTACAATTCCATTCAAATCCATTTAAAACATAATTTAGATTCTCAAATCCAAAGACAAATGACAAAGGATTTTAACTAGTATTTATAGATCATAGAACCAATAACACATGATTTTAATTAGGATTTTAAAATCAATGATTGAATAACAAATGATTTTTGTTTGAATTTCTAATTCCGTATAAATCGATAAACCAATAACCCTTAGTTAAAGTTTGTTTTGTGGAATCTTTATTTCAGTTAATTGGCAATAATGCATATATTATAATCTTTTGTTCCATTGGATTAAAAGGTTGACCTACAAAAATAGGTTAAAACTCAAATATTCTGTTATCTCATATATATAAATTGAATAAATTTAGAGCTTTAATAATAGGCGTATAGCAAAGCAAAAACCCTAAGTAAGTAAATAAAATAATTTTTTTCTTGCTTCCAGTCACGGCTATTTTGAAGTCTTATCCCAAATAAACTTAACTACACATACATGATACAACAAACCAATCAATTCATGGATTATGCTCATCGATCCATTTTTGTGTTTCAAAATAAATCCAATTTTGGGTAAAGACTAGATATTTATATATACAAAAAAACTAAAGTGGAAACAAATAGTTAGATTTAAGGGAATTTTGTCAAATGTGCCACAATTTTAGAAAATCCTAGCAAATGTACCACATTGCAAATCAATTTAGCATTCATACCACTTTTGGTGTTTGTGTGGTAGATTTTGGACGATTTTACCCTTCTGCCTGCGTCAGGAATGTGTCAGGGGAATGAGCTACAGTCAGACGCCGGTTGAGAAACGGGGAGCGGCTGCATTAAATGGATGTCTCCAAATCTTGTCCCCGATTGAAAATTCTTTGTTGCGTCTAGATCTTGTCCCCGATTTCATCAGCTTGCTCTATTATCATGAATCCCAGATGATATAGTTTTATCAGCCTACAAAGATCTGGATTTACTCGGGGACAACATCTCTTAATTATCCATCACTAGATGATGTGATTTTACCAGCCAGATATCTAGATTAACTCGGGGACAACTTGATCTTTATTTTATTCTGTCAGAGAGCCGAATACGAAGATCTGGATTTACTCAGGGACAACTTTGTTTTACCGGCCAGAGGGACGAAAACGGTTACCAATGCGCCAAGAGAGATAAAAGACGGCAGAAATTTCGGAAGGTCACATCAATCGCAGTTATTTATCTCACAAGTTGGAGGGTAAAATGGTCATTTTAGAAGCACAATGTGGTATGAATGGTAATTGAGATTCAAATCTGGTAGAAGTGATAACTTTTGTGGAAAAAGTAGTACCCAATCTAATTTTCTCTAGATTTAACAACACAAAAAATACTTTAGATATATTATTTTTGTGCAAGGCAGTAATAGTACATAGTTGCAATGACCAGAAAATAGTACATGTGCAATAAAAGGCTGTTTATAAAATCATAACATCACATCACTCACTGTGGTCAAAACAGTACCACTACAATACGAATCTAGTTAAGATTCAGATCCATGCATTATTTTTATTTTCTAATTATTTTTGAATAGTTTGGTTTAAATTATTTATAATACCGATACTCTAAATTCTTGAAATGTACAAGAATTTAGGATATGTAACATATTATTTAGGAAAATAAGTCACATTATTTGATTTATGGTTAATTTTAAAAGACTTTAATTTCTTTTTAAAATTACTATCTTCTTGACAAATTTGGAATATAATAAGTTCACTATATTTTATTGGAGATGCCTTAATAAAAATAATTTGTAAATTATTTTAGGTTATTGGAGATATCTTTCTTATTAAGTGAGCACAGTGTTCTCTTAACAAGTACACTTTGAGAATACTTATTTAGTATTCTGCAAACTGATAAACGTCTATATATTTTAAATTAGGATTATATATTCTCATGTTATGTTGTTGGTTTCATCAATTAAAAAATCAAATTTAAACGGTAATGACCGTATTAAAAAATCTTACATAACGAGTAAACATATATATACGTACATGGGTATTGCGAATCTTGATATACAGTGTTGACTACTATTAAGGAACAAAACATAATTACCATTTTCCTAACTAAACAAGTAGCATGATACTATACTATGATGCAAAAAGAAGAAATGAATATATAAATCTCCAAAGCCAACTACAACTTAATATGGTTGATATTAAAAAAACAACATATAAGAATCTGGTTATTAATTTTAGACTTTTGTTGGGGTTTTTCTTTTTCTTTTTTGCTGTTTATTTTAGTGATTGGAATTCATTTAAAAGGACTTGAATAAGCAGAAGCAGAAAATTCAAAAATTAAGCAGGAAAAAAAATAAGTAAGCAGAAATTTGGGTGACCAAGATGGAGACACGTGCAGTGGTCTGGTAAAGGCAACAGTGATCGAGAAGTGAGCAAGTGTCTGTTAAGACAGCGACACGTGCTCTCGAGCCCGTCGTGAACCACTTGCTCTATTTTTTTCCCTTTTTCGTCATTTATTCTTAATCACTAGTATTATTGAATTCCACAAACCACATTAACTAATAACTAATGTGTACTTATTAAAGTTAATCAAGTATGGTGTAATACCACTTGACTAAATAAAAGATTATTAAAATTGCGTGAATGCAAACAATTGTTTAGTTCTAGAATTAAATTCTGCGTGTTTTTTCCATGAAGTTTCTAGTGATGTGATGTGGGATTAACATAGTGTTAATTTAATTATCAATATGATTAGTTAGGTGGAAAAGAAATATATAGGTTTTAAAATAGTCAAAAATAGTTTTCATGCTTCCGTAAATACCATTTTCTCCGAAAATTTAGTAATTTCTACTTTGAAATAGTTTGTTTAAGTTTTAGCCATTTGATTGGATTACATGCTTACTTTGATGATTGTGTTTTGCATTGTCTCCAAAATAACAGTTGTTTTTATATGTGATTGGGATAATATAGGTTATACTTAAAAAGAAAAAAATTGTTAATTATGTTACAATTAAACTTATAATTGTGTGTGTTAGAGGTGGTTTTCTAGTTGTCAATACGATTGTAACACATGAATTAAATTTCATCGAAAGTATTATAGAGTAAATCACAAAATACATGTTCTTCTGAAAAAATTAGTCTCTTATAAATTCAAATAATGTACTAGTAAATTATTCAAATAATTCTAATAATATTATAAGTTCCCTGTTGTTCGACCAGTAAAATAAAGTTTCCAACTAGTATGTATGACCATATATTATCAAGTGCCAAAGGTAAATAAAGGAAAGTAACCTTACCCATGGAATTGTCTTATAAAATAATATAAATTCTCTTGACAAAAAAATATAAAAAAATAATATAAATTCAAGATAGTTAAAACTACATTGAACATTATGAATTTATGATCAACATGTTTTGAAGTTATTTAACATTAAAAATAAATAATAATAAAAAGTTAGAAAAAAACCCTAAGATTTTTGTTGATCTTGTGTTTGATAGTAATAATTGTAATCAAATAATAGTAGATCATCGGAAGTACATAATATACATTTTTTTTTGGTGAAAAAACAATAATTAGATATTAATTAGATTGAATATATTGTTATGATTAGGACAATATATGTATTTCCATATCCTTTATATATTAATTGAAACATTTTTCAAAAAATAATATCATCTTTATGTGTGATTTACAAAAATATCATGCTGACTTCTCACAGAATTTCTCAATCCATTTAATTAAAAACTCAACATTTATTAAGATATTTACAGATTTTGCCATTAATTTTATTTATATTATTTTTTCATTTAATTTATGTTTTTTATTTTACTCAATTAATTAAAACAAAAACACAAATAAAATATATAAATCTATACAAAATGGAGTACCTAATATTTTGTATATTGATTAATATACCAAGATATATATTATAAGTTATGATAAACATAAACATTAATATATAAATAAAATTGCACTACTTTTGATAATCATTAATACACTACCGTTTATATATAATAATATAAAATCGAACATGTTCAATATTATCAATAAATTCAAATTGGTTAATAATCGTTTTATCCCGCATATAGTGCGAGTTATTATCTATAGCAATTATTATGATCGAAACATATAAGCATTGAGTAGATTATTGAGTGGCAATACATATAAATCAAATTTACATGGAAAGGTGTTTGTATTAGTCGAATTCCTTTTTTTAAGTTGGCAAAATGTATAAATCGAATTCTATAAACAAAATAAAATCATGAAAGTCACTCTCCTAATTAAGGATACTTCGACAAATTGATTTTTTTTTGTTTTCCTCTCCTACATAATATACATGTGACAAAATCATCGTATGATCGGTTAGCGAGTAAGACTACTCTTCGGAAAGCATTGTCAATCTCACTTCTGCTGTATTTTTTTTTAGTGTATGGCACATACAGCCGTGTATCTAATAATTGTGTTACAGTAATTCTGTATAATGTCTTTGTAATACTTTGAAAATTAATGAAATCTGATTTTGTCGAAAAAAATATATATATATATATATATACATGTGACATGAGATAATATGATTTTTTCATATTCTTTTTTTTTTTTGGGCAAAATGATTTTCTCATATTCAAGCATTGATTTTCGTCTGACATTTCTATAGCAGTTATGTTCACAACTTTTTAATTTTGTTTTGTAAAATGTGAATTTCTTGTGTTTTTAATGCCAAATACAAACGAAAAATCAAACTATTTTACATTACAGATTTTAAAAAGTTCCGATTCTTTTTTTTGTAATCACCTGAATTAGAATTTAATTCAGATATTTTGTAGAGGACCGTGGCAATATAGTGAAAAACACATGTAACAAAGGGCAAAAATGGAAAACAAATCAAAGACGGGTTTGTGCCCAATATCTCTCTCTCCATCTGATGATCACTCCTTTAAAATCACCATCAAAGAAATTCCAATTTTCTCGGATTTTAATTTCCATATTACAAATCCCTAAAACCCTACAGGCCTCTTTCTTCATCACCTACTACTACTAAGTCACAGCTCAAGCTAGCTCCCTCTGTTTCTGTAAGTCTCAATAATTCTCTCACACACTTAAGTTTGGAATTACAAAAATCAATCTTTTTCATAGAAATAATCTGAATTTTGTGTTTTTACTAAATTCTGATTCCAAGCAATTCTAGATCTAGGATTTTGGTTTCTAATCCAGTAAAGAAAACTCACTGTAGAAAGAAGTGTATTTGTTTGTTCCTTTAAATTTGGTTTCATAATAATCAAAGCCAAGAGCTTGACACCTGTTTCATCCAGAGTCCAACGATCTACATAGAATCCAGAACACATCAATAATGATTCCTTTTTAAAGAATTTTAAATTCATTTAATCTTCTTGTTGGTAACTATGAAACAACTCTATCTCTCTTTACCAAAGCTAATTCAAAACTCGATTTCTGCATTTTTTGTCTTCTTATTCTTTAAAGTCTTCCATTGATAATCGCTTCAGCCGAAAGCAATTGCTTGTTTCAGATCAGCTTAATTATTTATCATAGCTTCTGATGCTTCTTCTAGCTCCCTTCTTTAATTAATTAAGATCATTAACTTTAAACCCATTTTTTGTGTGTTGTGATGTCAGATCTAAAATGAGTAGAGCAAAATTTCGAATCAGAATATAACTGATATCTTAAATATGTGTATATATGAAAGTCATCTGTAGAAAAAGTAGATAAAGATGTAACATAGAAATAAGCATTTATTTATATATATATGTATATATATATATATATGTAAAGATTTGTTCTTATGAGATTGTTTCTTTGTTTTTGTTATTGCAGGCTTGTGGTTAAAATCATTTCAGACAGTGCTTTTGATGACTCTGCAACAACAGCAGCTGCTTCAGACAAAGCTTAAACGAAGCTGTATCTACTGACTTTGATGGTGAAATATCAAAAACCCTAAATTTATTAAAAAAAAAACACAATTTTTTTTTTTTTTTGGTTTTTCCTCTGAGGGTTTTCATCATCAATGCTTAGAAAGTACAGTGGGTAAACAAAACAAAAGTGTTTTTTTTTTTTTATATAAAAACCAATTTTTTTCCACTTCTTTAAATCCCAAACCAACCCTAAAGTTTCGATTTTTAAATTTGGGGGAAACCAACAGAAAAAAAAACCCTAATTTTTTTCTTTGGTGATGAGATTATTGGTGATGATGAAATGATTGGAGATCTAATGAAGAATAACAATGGCGACGTTGTGGATAGCGGAAACAACAACCGGTTAAGCCGGTGGCATCACAATTCTTCCCGGATAATTAGGGTTTCACGAGCTTCCGGTGGTAAAGATCGACATAGCAAAGTCTTGACTTCGAAAGGACCACGTGACCGTCGTGTCCGGTTATCAGTCTCCACCGCTCTTCAATTCTATGATCTTCAAGATCGGTTAGGTTACGATCAACCGAGCAAAGCTGTGGAATGGTTAATCAAAGCTGCGGAAGATTCAATCTCTGAGCTTCCTTCACTCAACAACACTAATTTTCCGACCGATGACGAGAATCATCAGAACCAGACATTAGCAAGAACAGTTGCTGCTGCGAATTCGTTGTCTAAATCGGCTTGTAGTAGTAATTCAGACACGAGCAAGAACTCTTCTGGTTTGTCTTTATCAAGATCGGAGCTAAGAGATAAAGCTAGAGAGAGAGCTAGAGAGAGAACAGCTAAAGAGACCAAGGAGAGAGATCATAACCACACTTCTTCGTTTACCGATTTGTTAAATTCCGGTTCAGATCCGGTTAACTCAAACCGGCAATGGATGGCTTCAGCTCCTTCTTCATCTCCAATGGAGTATTTTAGTTCGGGTTTAATTCTCGGGTCGGGTCAACAAACCCATTTCCCGATTTCAACAAATTCTCATCCTTTCTCATCAATCTCCGATCACCATCATCATCATCATCATCCACACCAAGAGTTTTCATTCGTTCCCGACCATTTGATATCACCGGCAGGATCCAACGGCGGAGCATTCAATCTTGATTTCAACATGTCGACACCCTCCGGCGCCGGAGCTGCCGTCTCCGCCGCATCAGGTGGTGGGTTCAGTGGTTTCAACAGGGGGACCCTTCAGTCCAATTCAACAAATCATCATCAGCATCAGTCATTTCTCGCTAATCTACAGAGGTTTTCATCATCAGAAAATGGTGGAGGTCCACAGTTCTTATTCGGTGCACTGCCTGCAGAGAATCACCACCACAATCACAACCATAATAATCACCAGTTTCAGCTTTACTATGAAAATGGATGCAGAAACTCATCAGACCATAAGGGTAAAGGCAAGAACTGATGATATTAATTATTGCATCTTTGGTTTTATTCAGATCCTCATTTTGTATGTTTAATTCTCTCTCTTTATTTTTGGTTTATTTCAAAACAAATGTTAATCTCTTTTGTTGTCTGATCATTTATCATTAATGTGTGTTAAATTTGTTTAGGGTTTTTTTTTTGTAATGTTTTGAGGGTCTTTTGAAATCTGTTAGCATTGTATTTGTAATGTTGTATTTGTGATAATACCATTTTGTTTGTGAGTTTATAATTCAATTTTTGAGTGTTATTTTTGGCATGAAATTGTTAGTTTTAGCTTTTTTTTCTTTAGTTAAATGTTATAGTACGAAGATACTGTTTCTAGGTATTCATGAACAAAAGGGTAGGTCAAGGCAATAAGGCGACCCTTTTAAGGATACTAGATTGTATCAAATCTTTGCACAAAAAAAAAAAAGATTGTATCAAATCAAATATCGGAAGAAATAAATACAGAAATTTAGTGAAGAGACAAGAAACTTGAAAATAAAAATAGAAATATATACATATTAATCAGAGAAATAAATAATTTTGGTTGATGAAACTGAAAATTTGAGGGCAAGGCCATAATGCATTGAAGAGAGTGAAAATTAAAATGAATTGTCTCCTGTTGTGCTCTATGTTTGGTTCCCTTCTTCCTTAGCATCTCTCATCTCTTTCTTTCTCTCTCTCTATATATTACTTTATAATCTAATCTATATTATGAATATATCTTCCTCATTTGTGACAGCTGTTGTCTTCAACAATGGCTATTCCCAAATTTTCATGATTTTTTTTATGATCTGTTTTATATATTTTTAAAGGTTTTAACTTTTTCTTTCATGGGCTACTTGATCCTCTGCACCCACATGGCTAACCCATCTTTTAGGGTACTAGACAAAGTATTATTAAATTCATTCTTTTTAGTTTATTTATATATTAGAAAGCTTTCAACTTTTGTGTGGTTTTGGGATTTTGAGTAAAGTTGTTTTACTTGTGATTCATGTGTTTTGAGGCTTAGGTATTTTCAAGTTATTTCCAAAAGTGAGAAAGATAATGATATCTTAAAAAACTTTTGATTGGAAGAAACTTTATATTGGGCTAAACATTAGAAAGAATCATATATTTAAAAGTAAGATTTCACTCTCTTCTTATTGGTCCACTTGGCAATAATTTGTTTTTTAAAAATTATTTTCGATTAAACCACAAATAAAATACATTTAACTCACATTAAACTACAAATAAAATACATTTAACTCTTACTTTAATATATAAAACTGAAAACATAAAAATTATGCATTAACTATTCCACTCAATTTTATTTAACACACAATCAATTAGAATTATAACTCCCATATTTTTTTTTTAAATTGTAACTCCTATTACTTCTCATCCTATAAATACTCATTTCTCATTTTTCCATTTTCTCATTCTCTCATCTTCTTCCACTATATATCTCAAATCATTTTCTTTATTATTGTTTTGTGTTTTTATTATTATATTGGTTTTGGTTGTTATATGGGTTAAAAAAACTCAAATTAAATATCATTGTAAAAGCTTAATTCTAAATTTTAATTTCTACATTGGTTTCTTTGTTTTTTTTAAAGATTCATCTCCATTGTATATTTTAGATTATAATATTTCATATCATTCTCTCATCCTCTTATACTATATTCATGACTATATTTTTTCTATGGGTTGAAATCAATGAAAATACGATTGTAATAATTTGATTCTAATTTTTTTTTCTTTTTTTTTTGTTCCTAACCCCATACTAGATTATACATATTTTTTCTTTAATTTACTAATTTTAATTTTGAATTAACATATGTAAAATAAAAGTTTTGATGGCTATAACAAAACTTTTAAGTTTACTGGTGATGGAAAGTTAAAAATATTAATTATAATCACCGTACAACAAGGAAATAAAATTGAAAAGATCCATCTCCATTTTATACGTTGGATATTTGATTATTTTCTAACATATTCATTTATTTTTGTTTAGTTATGCAATATATAATGAAATAAATTATTTTAATACATTTATGAAATATATTTTTCTAACCTCTTTCTTATCTCGAATAAATTTTTGTAATTCATTTTTAATGTATGTATCATTATATTTAATTTTTGTGATCCAATAGGTAGTTATATTAAAATTATTATAATGTTTATTTTATTTAAAACTTGAGGTTTAAATGTTTTTCAAAAACAAGAAGAAATTTGTTAAACAAATTTGGTCATTAAGATAAAATGAATATAAGAAATCGTATGTTTAGAAAGAAATCATTAGAATGAAACCTAGCACTCTTACTTAAATAGAGTGAAATATAGGAAAAAAAACTATAATTAAAACAAATTTTTTTTTATTAAATCCTATAACATGAAACTATTAGTATAAAATCTAGCACTAGAATTTTAATTGATGAGTAGAATTACAAAACAAAAATTCTATCCTTGGTTTTTTTTTTTTAACTTTAGATTAAAGTTCATAAGGTTTTATAAGAAAACAAATTTAGTTTGTCACTTATAAAATAATATGAGTTTGAAATAATATGTGGGAGTTTATATCAACAAACAAACAAATTCTTTGTGAGTTATTTCAACAATTTATTTTGTAATATATATCATCTATATCTCTATACTATTAAAAGAGAAGTACAAATGTAATTGGGTCGGATCAAAATCAGAAAATTGACCCAAAATTCTGAAATCGGATCTTTAAAAAAATTTTGGAATATAAATTCGAATTAATAATGAAAAATCGAACTAAAATCAAATGTTTATGGAAATCAAATAAAATTTGATTGTACTTATGGTAACTAATTATAAAATCATATTCTGAACAATATTATATATTACTTACGTATAATATATTTGTTCGTATACTTTTGGAACTAATTCCATAACAATCAACGTTTTTCTCATTAATTTTGCTTATTTTAGCCAGTTATCATTAATTAAAAGATATCTTACTTGCTTCTAGAGATTTCTAGAAAATTTATCACAACTAACCCATCTATTTTATAAATTAAATAGATATTTTTATTTTGGTCGTGGAAATTAAATAGATATGAAATCTGTGTAACTAATTTTAATTTAATTAGATTAAATCGAAATTATGGTATTTCCATACTTATAGTTTACCAAAGAAGTTTAATTTTCAAATTAAAAAGATTTCTTGAATATGATTTTTAGAATTATTCAACAAGATGATAAATATTTGTTAAATTTTGTGAATCATGAAAAATATTAATTATTTTTAATCATTATATTTCACCTTTCAATCTCTCATCTAACAAATAAGATACATATTCTATTATTCCTATGTCCAAACTTCATTGTGTTGTATGACTAAATAATATTTCCATTAGAGCTGTCAAAACGAGTTGATTAGTCCCGTTAAACCTGTTTTGCAATAGGCAAAATATATTTTGGCATGTAGTTAGTCTGTCCGCACGACCCGCGGGTAGCATATATGAAACACAAACCCGTCGCGTGAATGTATGCTGATTTGCGGGGTTATCCGTGGATTTTGTTTAAATAATTTTAGAGTAACCAAAATTTAAAATTCTACTAAAATAAATAAATTAAAAAAAAATTAGAGAAAATAATCTTATATATCATTATATTTATAAATATTATAATTTCATTTATTAAAAGTTTTTTAAACTCCCACATGTTGAATAAATTATATTTTAATCAATGAATACTATCATGCGGGTTGATCCGCCAACCCGCGGACGAAAACCGATGACCCACTGCAAATCAATCCATGTGGCCCGTTTATTTACGGGTTTAATATATTTTCCCAAATTTGCCCTATAGTGAGATGATTTGGGCTCGATCCGCGGTTTTTGACCTATTTTGACTGCTTTAATTCCCATGATTCGTCTAATTTTTGAATTCTAAAACACAAAATTCCATTTTGTAAATCATAATTAATATGGTTGGTTTAATTATAAACAATTTAATATTTTCTTTACAATTTGTTATTAGGAATATTTATAAGTACACTACACGATTCGTTCTACTAAAAACACGCACAATATTAAAATCAATGTATGTAAATCAATATTTTCCCGCGGTGGACCGCGGGTCCGATTCTAGTGTATTTATTAAAATATGAGCAAAAACAAGATATCAAATCGTACGAGCCGTTTAAATTTCTTCTAATTATAGTTATATTAAAAAAAATTATTTTAAAATTATACAACAAGCCGCGAGTAGCGCGGCTAAACAATCTAGTAGGTTACAAAACATGAGTAAAACTATTTTTATTATGAATTTATTGCTTTTTTATAAGTAAAACTAAATTTCGAATAAAAATTATGTAGCATTGCAATTGACAAATGTTTGTTCATAAATACTGTTTTCAACAATTGCAATAGTTTTGAGTTTATTACTATTATTATTTTGACTTCTATAGATTTTGAATTCATACTTCAGATATAAGTTTGTATCAAGTATCAACACTTGTGACCTTTTTTCCCCTTTTTCTGGTTAAATTTATATTGGGCCTAGAACATTGACTTTGTTTTGAGGTTTTATATATAGACCCATTTGAGGTTTTCTTTTACATGAGTTTTGTTTTCTTTCTAAAAGAGTTGCTTCACTTCTGGCTGGTTTCTTTCCGGAAAGAAGAATAAGGCCTTATAATCCCGAACCTTCTCTTTCATAGAAAGTTTATTCCTCCAAAGGGAAGATTCTTAATAAGTTAATATTGTCAAATTGTTATTATGATAATCCAAACTTTGACTCTACGTCTACATACATATTAGCAAAGTCTCACGACTTTTAACCACAAACTAGCGGATAAAATTACAGACTATGGCTTTTTTAAAACAATAAGTAAAAGTGAAACACAAATATCAGAGTAAATATAGATAGTTGATGATTCAAACTTCACAAAATTATATACAAATTAAACATCGGTGGACGTTCGTCATAGGATTTACTGATCCGTTTGATAGATCTAACCAATACTTTTATTCAGGCATCCTAGCTAAACTATTTTTTTAAGTTAAGTTTATTTCATTTTTGAATCAAACAGTTTTCTTTAGGCTCTGAATAGTGGAGAGGTCATTTTCTACATTTGTGTATAATATATTCTTTACTTCTTTTGGGAGAAAAAGCCTTAATGTTCGGGAAGCCTTTATTAATCATCCATTTCTTTTTTTCTTCTTCTCTAATCTCTACAAGCCTTTTACATGCACAATGAGAAGTCCGTGATTTTGTTCTTTTCGAAAGTAAAAGTTCCT